CAACACCGCCAACACCACAACCAACACTGCAACCAACACTGCCAACAACACCGCGACCAACACTGCAACCAACACTGCCAACAACACCGCGACCAACACTGCAACCAACACCGCCAACAACACCGCCAACACCACAACCAACACTGCCAACAACACCACATCCAACACCTCCACCAACACAACCAACGCTGCCAACAACACTGTGACCAACGCTGTGAACAACGCCTCCACCAACACCTAAACCAACACTGTGACCAACACTGCAACCAACACGTCCAGCAGCTCCACCAACACCACCACCAACACTGTGACCAACACCACCACCAACACCACATCCAGCATCTCCATCAACACCGTAACCAACACCACCAACACCACCACCAACACTGCCACCATGCTGTGACCAACACTGTGGCCAACACTGCAACCAACACATCCAGCACCTCCATCAACACTGAGACCAACGCTGTGACCAACACCGCATCCAACACCGCATCCAACACTACAACCAACACTACAACCAACACCTCCACCACCGCCGCCGCCATCCACCCCCAGCACAGCAGCCCACAGCAGCGGCGTCCCCACAGCCCACGTTAAAAACCGATGGCAAAACCTCCACTGGTAATTAACGCCATCTCCACCGGTAATTAACAAACCCAGAGATCGGAACCAATTAAGAGGTGCGTGAAGACGACTCCCAGGCTGCTCAGGCAGGAAGGCAGGATGGCACCGCCGCCCATCAGTGCAAACACGGCGCTGACCTCGGGCGGGATGAAGTGCACTGGGAGCGCCACTGATTGCGGCTCAGCAAACAGCCCTGGGGCCTTGGCTGCGCCACGGAATGCAGCCGGGATGCCAGCGGCCACCGCAGCCCCAACCTGCAGGCACAGAGCCGCCCGGTGCCCCCCATTGTCCCCACTGCTTCCCTGTGTCCCCCATTGCCCCCCAATGCTTCTCATTACCTCCTATTGCCTCTCATTGTCTCCCATTGCCTCCCATTGCCTCTCATTGTCTCCCAGTGCCCCCCATTGCCCTCCAGTGCTTCCCATTGCCTCCGTTGCCCCCC